CTCATAGTTATACAAAAAAAAAAAAAAAAAAAAAGGGACAACTTTATAAGGAAAGCGTGTCAACTAAATAGGGACGGATGGAGTATTTTTTAAACCCTATCAACCAGTTATAAAATAGTTAATATTTTGTTTTTGTTTTGTTTTTTGAGAGTATAAGATAGTTCATACTTCATACTGAAACTTTTTTTTTCTAATTATTTTTTTTACCTCAAAACATAAAATTTTTGTGCATTGATATTAACAAGCGGCGTATTTGCAAACTTCGTTAAGAAATTATGTGAAAGGAACTAATTACAATTTGGCCATTGTGCACAACTCATTTTTGTCAAGCATATTGTGGAAAACAATATACACCATAATATTTGCGTGAAGGTTGTAAACAGAAGAAAAGGTGTTGCTACGAATTTAAAGATGAAATAGTTTATTGTAATGGAAATTTGAATTAAGAGAATTTTGTATGATTTATCGGCTAAAAGTAAGAAAAAATTTAAATAAGTATGAGAAGCTATATTCCACTACTTAAATTTAAAGTTGACGCCTGATCCGGATTTTGGCATCAACAACGTAACATTCTATTAAAGAGGAATTTATATGAATTTCTAGGTGGGAAAGTTATAGCTTAGTCTGTTGTGTAATGTGGAGATTTATTATAAAATGATCAACTCAACCTAAAGTCTAAGCAAATGGTTGGATGGAGTCTCAAGATTGAATTTATACTCTATTACGCCCCCTCATATAAGAATCCATCAATTGGACTTGAAGTGTGGATGCATCATGGGCTATTCCATACTCAGCACTAAATTTTCCACTTTAGAAAGCAGGAATGGATGAAATTTGAACTCGTGACCTTCTTGTCACGCTGGCTCCTATACCATGTCAAAGGACCAACCATATTCAATCACTTGTAACAAGTGAGTAAGTGACCAATTAAGTCACTATTCTTAGTTGATTGGTAAATTAAAGCCCTTAATACTTTTCTATCAAGGGCGATATATCTAGAGATCGAGCACCATATTAAATTAGCATGCGGATTATTTTAGATGAAGCCCCTCACATTTTCATGCTCACAAGCTCAAATTTGCTTCGCACATAAGCACTTGAGTTAAGATGGATATATATTCATCTAAATGTATTTAAGAAATTTCATCAATAATCTAATGTAACCTAATCTTATAAAATAAACAAAGCATAGCCATTTCAAACTGACATAGTACGTGCAACTGGACAGTAGTCTTGGACACCACTCATGAAACAATCAGAGGGAGCTGTTGATAAGCCTAATATAATATTTTAGCTTAAGGTAGTGTTACCAGTAGCATTCTACACAATGGTGCTACCACTTCAATATTATATCATAGCTTAAGGTAATCTTACCACTAAATTTCTTATGGTGGTTAACTAGCTGCTAATATCGATCTACTTTACATGAATGAGAGCGTTATCCTCTTATTAACCAAAACAAGCTTAAATGATAGTAGTACAATAATAAAACCAATTTTTTAGGGCTATAACCACCCGCTTATATATTTGATTGAATCGATTATTTGACATATTGACATGGTATTAGAGTTGGTGATTTAATGTGACAAGAGGGATTATAGCTTATAGCTTCAAATCTCATCCACCCCTTCTTCTTAAATTAAAGAATTGGACTCTAAACATTAGTTAATTAAATCTTTTAGTAAAGTAGGAAATTGAAATTTGAAATTCTTTGATTTACGCATGCTGGTAAGATACAATTATATTTGATCTTATTCTATATGTTTGCTACATAGAAACAAGGAACATATAAACATGCATGATTAGATTATTTAGATATATATGAGTAAATTAGGCTCGAGATCTATTTGAACAATATACAGGTTAGTTTCGGCTAGGTTGAACGCAATGAGTTTGATATAATATACTTTGTATCTCTTACGATGGAGTAGAACTTTATTTCAGCCTAAATTTTTTCTGTAAACAATGCTGGTATATATATTAATGTTTACTGTATGGTTATATCTTTAATAAACATCATAAAAAGGTGTTTTTTAGTGTCAATTTATAAAATATGGTTTTGATCATGATATTCAGGTGTGAAAGAAAGATATAATTTTCATGTTAGAAAATAAGCTAAACTTTTCAAATACCAACAAAATTTGTTTTGTGAAAAAATAAAATGTATTTTTTTTAATGCTTTCCTAATTAGATGAGTTGATGAGGTTTGTAATTAGGAAACTAGATAGATATTAGATACGAAGTATATTGGATTATTTGCATGCCTATAAATTGAATTTAATTGATTGTGGTGGTTCACTCAGTTCATACTCGAATTATAACATTCCGTAATATATTTAAGCTTGAACTCAATTTGTTACTCCCTTCGTCCCTTATTGATAGTCCCTTATGGCCAATTTTAAGTACCAAAATGATAGTCCCATTTGCTTTTTTTAAGTACCATCAATAACTATATACTAAAAGACACACCAACAATGACACATGTCGATTTCTGGTGTGTTCTAAGTATATTTTTTTTTAATAATTAATTACGAAATTTTATTTAAGGAAGTTATTTATAAATAAAAAAAAAAAAGTTTGTTTTTTTGTCAACTATACAAATGAGCAATAATATTTACCATTTTTATGTTGATACTCAATTAATTACGGAATAATAAGGAAATATATAATTTTTTTCCAGAAGATGTATTTTTGGTGGAATATTTTTTAAGAATATGATCTTGATCAAATATTCCATGTTACTTCAATTTTGTTCAAGATATTAAACAATTTTTATATTTTATGCTATAAATAAATTAATTTGTCAAAAGTAATTAAAATAACGTACCGTGCATGGCACGGGACCTAACCTAGTTAATATAAATTTTTTACCAAAATTCCCTCCAATTTGCAACAATATTTGTGCAAATTTAACTTTCCCATGGGGAATTTTGTTTTTCCATGAACTTTTATTACTTTTTTTATGGGCGTTAGAACGGTTGCACATTCCACTCTCATTCAAACACATTTATAAGCAAACATCTCACAAACCAAGCACAATAATAAGTAAGAGTTCGGTCCACAGCGAACGGGGTATAATTGCTAAAGATCTTATCACTCAACCTAATTCGAAGTCTTTTGTTGAAAGGGGTATTCGTCAAGTAGACAACAAACTATTGTTCTAAATCAAGTAATCAAAAGCACTAGGGAATGAGATCCACTCAACCATGACAATTAGGCATATTGGGAGTAAAAGAGACAAGAGATAGCAAGGACTATATGTAAGACCAACCTCATGCAATTAGGAAAACAACTCACACTCCTAAACTTAGATCCCTCATTAATTTAGCAATAGGAGATACATAATCAAATTGCATTAAGTAATGACATACTTAATCTACATTTCCATGTCAAACTAAGCATAACATGCCATCAAGCTCCAAATTAAAGGGTAGCTACTCCTATCATGAAGAACTAACAAGCAATCTCATACAATCAATTTATTCACAAATCAAACATCAATACTTCACCCAAGTTTACTTAGTTAACCATTAGGTTGAGTTTTACCCAACCCTTAGCAAAGAGGACTCTTCACAACTCATTTTGAGTGACATGCAAACCAAGATTAAGGTTCTAACTAGTCCAATAGTTGGGGGAAAGTGATTAACTAATGATAAAACTAACATTCAACAACAACAATCAAGATCTAAAGAGATTAAGGTGACATGCAATAACAAAATAAAATCAGAAAATAAATAGAGAAAAGTGAAAGAAGTTACTAATTGAAGCTTCAAATGTTGAAAACAATTTCTGAAATGCTGAGAATAATCCTTGAAACTTGCTACTACAATGATTAATTTGAGGACTTCTAAGCTAAAATACCAAAGATGATTGTTTCAAACTAAGAGAAAGTTGCTAAGAACTATGCTACTACTGCCCGAATGAACTAAAGGGGTAGTATTTATACTCCCCGAATTACATAGGTTGAACCGTCAAAAGAAAACGGATTTCCAGCTAAGAGCGCCCGCTCCATATACATGCGTGCCCGCTCCCCTGCTCTTCAAAAGATTGGCAGATTCAAAAATCCAGGGAGGAGCGCCTGCTCCTCGCTCTTTCAACATGAGGCAGAATGTTGAAGTCTTGGAGGAGCGCCCGCTCCTATTAGGGTGCACTCCCGCTCCTCACAGGTTCAGAAACATGGCAAAATTATGTAAACTTTGCAGGAGCGCCCGCTCCTGGGGAGGTGCACGACCACTCCACCAGGAGCGGCCTCTCCCTCCATCACTTTTTGCCTCTAATCTCAATTCATGAACTTCCTTGCTTTGCCTCACTTCACCATTACCTGCAAATTAAGTATACAAACACACATGGAGGGGGAGAAAGCCAAAACGCAACATTTATATACAAAAGGGGTTAGAAAAGAGGGGAAAAGATTATAAAATCGGGTTAAAATCACCACAATAAGTGGTCAAATAAACCACTTATCATTTATCTCTCTACTTTTTTGCATACCCTATATAAATTTACCTTTTCAATGTACTTTTACTACTTCTTATTCATATTTATTAATTGCCGTGAAAATTGCCCATAAGAGACTATCATTAAGGGACGGAGGGAGTAATAGCCAATTAAACAATCAAACCGAGCTTCACTTTAGAGTTAAGCAAAGTTTGAATTATTACTCCCTCCGTCCCATAATTACAGGCAAATAACTCTAATAAAATGGTTTTTAAGAAGGATGGAAAAAGTAGGGAATATTGTATGGAAAAGATAAAAAGTGAAAAATGTTGTATAGGAATAATAAAAAGTAGAGAATATTGTATGGAAAAATTAAAAAGTAAGTAATGATTTTTAAGGTATGTGTATTTTGTATGAAAAGAGAAAAAATAAGTAATGATTTTTTAGGTATGTGTATAATTTGTATAAAAAAGCTAAAATGTCAGTAATGATAGAGTGCTATTTGTAGTAATAGGAGGAACATTTTGAGACACCTAAAATCGTATATTTGCCTATAATTATGGGATGGGGAGAGTAATGTTTAAAATTTTATGTGGCTACTAGCTACCACTATGGGCCTAGGGCTCTATGTCGAACTCTCATTTGGTTTTGAGTTTAAGTCATAACGATTTAAATTGATTTTATCCTCTAATCATTTCAACTTTATATCATTTCGAGTTATTTTTTTTTTTTTTGACAAGGAGTTCAACTTCAAATTTGTATGTTATTACTAGAGTAAAGTCGATTGGATATTAGAAGTTCATGTCAATTTTGTAATTTCCTTAAACACGTTTTTGAATACTCTTACCAAAAATTGCGGTTTTAAAAATCTTAAATTTCTTTTTATGTGAGAGGACAAGAACAGCAGTGACGACTGTAATTCAGCTGGTGAGTCAACAACTCTTCCATAAAACAAAAAAACGTTCGTTCTTTTCAACTCCCATCTCAAAAGTTTTAATTTTTCTTCTAGGAATTTCCTTTTTTTTGAATGATCAAATCATCAAAAATCTCATATTTTCTGGGTTTCAAATACCCAGATTTTATTCTTCTTCTTTTCACCCCAATTTCAGTTAATTTGAACTGAAATTCACTTTTTTTTTTTTTTTTTTTTTTTTTTTTTGAAAAAAAACCCAAGTCAATCAATTGCAAAATTATCATCATAATTATTATTTCTTGATCTACTATTTTTTGCAGAATCTTGAATAATAATGGGTTGTTGTGCAAGTAGAAGCAAGGTTTCAGAAACCAAAATGAATGTTGTTAGATCAGAGAAAAGAACCAGCAACAGTTCAAGCAACCCAGAAAATTCTCAGCAACACGTTAGAAATTATCAGCAACAACCCCAGCAACATCAGCAACAGAGGCAGCAGATTGTTGTTCAACAACAAAAACCCAATTCCCAAATCATTCAACAAGAACAAAGGTATATTAATAATAATACCACTGCTAATAATAGTAATCATCAACCCCAAAAACCTAGGATTGCAATTGCTGGCCCACCTTCAGATACTATTTTGGGAAAGCCTTTTGAAGATATTAGGTCACACTATAAACTTGGGAAAGAATTGGGTAGAGGTCAATTTGGGATTACTTATTTGTGTACTGAGAATTCAACTGGACAAACTTATGCTTGTAAATCAATTTTGAAGAGGAAATTAGTTACTAAGGCTGATAAAGAGGATATTAAGAGGGAAATTCAGATATTGCAGCATTTATCAGGGCAGCCTAATATTGTGGAATTTAAAGGGGTTTATGAAGATAGACAATCTGTACATGTGGTGATGGAGCTTTGTGCTGGAGGGGAGTTGTTTGATAGGATTATTGCTCAGGGGCATTACTCCGAACGAGCCGCTGCCGCGGTTTGTAGGCAGATTGTTAAGGTTGTTCAGATTTGTAACTTCATGGGGGTGTTGCACCGTGATCTTAAGCCGGAGAATTTCTTGCTGTCTAGTAAGGATGAAGGAGCTATGCTCAAGGCTACTGATTTCGGGTTGTCGGTATTTATAGAAGAAGGTTGATTTCTTATACTCTTTGTAATCATTGCTTTAACTTAATTTGTGTGCACATTGTGTTTGTTTATACATTGGCATTTACATACTATTCTTTGTTTTGTATTGCTGCTTTTTTAAATGTGTATACACCTTAATTTCCTTTCCCATCTAAAAGAATTTAAAGCAAAGGTAATGGAAAAGAGATACTATGTTTTCTATTTCATCATCATGGTTTTTTTTGTATTGATGTCTTTTGGTCTGCTGACTGGTTTGTTATTTTTTTCGAAAATGCTTATGACACTCTTAGTAATAATTATGTTTTGTAGTGTATGAAAATTGACAAGGCTTGCTTTTCTTCAGAAGCTAGTTATAGTAGTTACTAGTTAGAGATGTCACATTTGGCATCTAGTGCAACTGTGCCCTGTGGAAGAGGCATAATGATTTTAAGGGCTATCACATATTCACATTTGTGTCTTATCTGTATTGAGTTAGGACTTCAATTTTTGACATACTCAATAGTAATAGAAGAAACGTAGTTTATTTAAGGTGATCATGGATTTGATTCTGCTTTACCTATTGAATTTTGGATTACACAAGTAGAGTTACTAATTGTGATTGATTGGACATAAGCAGACAGATTTGAAGGCTAAGCTAAAATTACAGTATCAGCAGGTATTCCTTTATATCAAGATATAGTGTTGTAATTCCTTCCTATGGGGATATTCTGGTTGATTTGTCGTCTTTTTGTGGAATTCTTCTTTTGTCTTGTAAGTATTGGCCAATACCAGGTTGTGTGATGATTACTCTCGGCTTGAAAGTTTGGATGTGTCAATTGAAAAAACTGTCGATGTCTTAGTGCACAAAGCATATGGGGGTGGGGGTACTTTTCTGACTGTATGATGGAATTATCTGTAGTCTCAGCTGCAAGACTTTTCTGTTAAGCTGTTATATAATGTATGTTTTTGTTTTCAAATACTTCGTATGTTATAATTCTTACCTCTTTGGCCGTCAATCTTATGAAAGATCTAAAAATCAAATTTCAATATGAATCTAACTTTTCTATTGTTGCTTTTTACCATTTGGCTGTCTTATTAGTGAACTACTAATCATTTGGAAGAGCTGAAAACTAAATTTGGATATGAACCAAATTTGTAGGCAAGGTGTATCGTGATGTGGTTGGCAGTGCTTACTATGTTGCTCCTGAAGTACTTCGGAGAAGGTATGGGAAGGAAATAGATATTTGGAGTGCAGGAATTATGCTGTATATTCTACTCAGTGGTGTCCCACCTTTTTGGGCTGGTATGATAATCTTTCTCTTACTCTTCTTATTATATTCAATTTGAGCTGTAAAGTCCGACAGTTCACTTGATTTTCTTCTGAAGAAAATGAGAGAGGCATATTTGATGCCATACTGAAAGGAGAAATTGACTTTGAAAGCGACCCATGGCCATCTATATCCAAAAGTGCAAAGGACCTGGTCAGAAAGATGTTGAATCCAGATCCAAAGAAGCGAATCACTTCTGCAGAAGTGCTTGGTAATGTGCTTTCTCGCTTCCTTTTGGTTGAGTGCCATTCTTGAATATGTCCTGTATCTCCACTCTTCAATATGCTACCCTTTCAACTTTTAAGTCTAGCAACTCAACGTATTTGCTATCACGTTCACACGATGTATCTTGTCATTGCCATATTAAGATGTAAAATTGTGAACTTACAACTATTTCTATTACATTTTGACTTTATATTATTCTGGTTAATCACCAGTTGAAAGGGTATTTGCTCTACGTGCCGTTTTTTCTGATTTTACTAATAACAGTATAGCAATGTTATTAATTTCTATGAAAAGCTAACATGTTTCATTTCTGTGAACCACACAGAGCATCCTTGGATGAGAGAAGGCGGAGATGCATCAGACAAGCCAATAGATAGTGCAGTGCTCTCTAGAATGAAACAGTTTAGGGCAATGAATAAGCTAAAGAAGCTAGCTTTAAAGGTGTGCTTCTATGAGGAACTTTAAAATTTTCCTTGTTTTTTTTTTTTTTTTTTTTTTTTTTTTTTTTTTTTTTTTTTTCCCTCTCTTGTATATGGTATTTACACATTCTTTCAGGCAGGGAGGATTTTTTCTTGAAAAAATTAGGTACAGTATGGTTTGACAGAGTTTGACTTCTATCCGAAATTTTCATTTTCTGGGATAAAAAATAACATTTTTATATAGAGGACTACAGAGGAATGTTCCCTTACACCCAACTAGACTTAGTAGTAGTAGTTGTAGTGTTGGCTAGTAAATTGGGAAGAAACAAGCTGATGTAGGCTGAGAATTCTCTAACCAGGTAGATTGGACATTGGGAAATTTTTTATTTTCTGAAAATTTTATATATTTAGCCTTATACCTGTAGTCTAGTATATGAATTTGGCCAGTTACTAGAACTAAACATGGTACATATCCTTCACTCTGCCATTTTTCCAACAATTAGCTTGGTTTTGCCTATTTTGAATTGTCTAGATATAAATTTCTCATGCCTGGAGGTGAAATGAAGAGTCCATCTAAAATAAGCATAGTGCCTTGTTACTTTAGCTTTATGACCAACCATCTTATGAGCTAGCTGATTAAGTAGTTTCCCCTCCCTTCATTTAAAATTCTAATTTTTTGTGGTCAGTCTTAGTTTGATCAATACTGTCAAGGGATTTTTGAAGTAAATATCCCAATACTTCTATTGTGTAAGACCTGTAAGTCACAAGGAAGGGAGAGCCCCAAAGGTCTATTGCTAGATATGTTGGTATTTATTGGATTTCGTTTGGAGAAAATAGCATTATGCCTGCATTGGTACATGTCTTTACCTCTATTAACGTTGCCTTGATTACTCACTTATGCATAGCCCAGTACTGAGTTGCTCCATGCCCTTTTTACATTTTAGTTTGACCTTTGAAATAGTTGTACACAATTTTTATTCCTTAGCTTCATTTACATCCTTCTGGACAACCATACTAAAATGACTTCTGGTGTTGCAGTAAATAGATTCTTGCTGTTTTTGAAAGTTTGATTACATATTTCATTTCATTTATACCTTTTTAATTTGACAATCAGCTTGTGATAGTAACAGATTTGCAATTTGGATTTTGATGACCCTGGCTCATTTACTGCAGGTTATCGCAGAAAATATGTCCGAAGAGGATATTAAAGGTTTTAAAGCTATGTTTGATAACATGGACACAGACAACAGCGGTTCAATAACCTATGATGAACTTAAAAAAGGATTAGCTGAACTTGGGTCAAAGCTTACTGAAACTGAAGTGAAGCAACTTATGGAAGCTGTAAGTTGTAGACTATCATTCAGCTACATACGATTTTTATCCTATCATGGTATCTTTTAATACGTTACTTTGTTGCTGGTTATCATATATTTGAATCTTTTGCAGGCTGATGTTGATGGAAATGGGACAATTGACTATACGGAATTTATCACTGCAACAATGAATAGACACAGACTGGAAACAGATGAAAATTTATTAAAAGCATTTCGATACTTTGATAAGGATAATAGTGGGTGAGTCCATAACAACTGCCTCTGCCTCCCCCCTTCTCCTTTCCCCTCCACAGCATTTCTGAGTTTTTGCGTGTTGCTTAAATATGCACATGAAATTCCCATATCAGTTTCTGCTCGAGGAGGTTGCATGTTTTCCACTTCGTTCTTTCTGTGGTTTCTTATCTTGAAATAATATCTCATCTGTTATAAGTTGGACATGTTGCGACGTGATTTTCTGTTGAGGTTTGCTTCTAATTACGTTCAGTTAAGGTATTTTTATGCAGCTTGTTCGTTCTTGGATTTTTTTTAGCTCATCTGCTCTCTTGATTATCTTAGAAGATATTCATGAAACAAGTTCTTCAAGGATGTTTTTTGTTCAAATTTATAAATTAAATTTCCTTGTATCTAACAAATAGTCTTATCTTATGAACTTTTTATTTTCTTCAAAATATTGCTCTAAAATGGTGGCGTATGCTTATGAGCCATTATTAACATGAGGGCAGCTTTTATTTACTTCAATAAATATTAATGCTATCAGCCCACTTCCTTAGTATTTGTGTAACACTCTTGACTCTCCAAAGCAATGCTTATTGTGAGGATGAACAGAGTTTAAGTTACTGAAATTACCTTTCTTATATGTCAGATTCATTACAATGGATGAATTGGAAAGTGAGATGATGGAATACGGAATCGCTGATGAAAGCAGCATCAAAGAAATTCTCTCAGAGGTTGATACTGATAATGTAAGTATCTAGTAAACACAAATTTAGAATTAATTGGCGTAGTGCATTAGACAATATATTTGGTAACCTATGAGTACTGTTACTGATCTTTGTGCGAGTGAGTGTAAAAAAAATTGATCTTTTATCCCTAATTCCAAATAATAGGGTATATATGATTTGGAGTTTTTTTTCTAGGAACGGAGGGAGTAACAGTGGCCAATCAGGCCATCACAATTTAGGATAGAGTATCGTTTTCTGCATTTGACTGATTTTGTTGACATATTATAGGATGGAAAAATCAACTACGATGAATTTTGTGCTATGATGAAAAGTGGTACAACAGCACAAGTAAAACTCTTCTAGTTCCAAGTTCAGTCCGTATAGCAGAGGTGTTTTGTATAGTCAGCCCGGTAAGTTTGCTTGTGATTAAATTATTTTCAACGGGAGCAGCAGGAAACCTTGTCTATGAACATTTACTCTGCATCTTTGCAGGAAGTTTGAACATGTGTATATGTATTTTTACATAGATTTTGTTTAATTGCTTAGGTTTTCCTTCTGAATCTCTGCTTGAAGCAGAGTAATTTTGTACCTGTATCTAAAGATTAAACCCTCACAACTCCTAGTAGCGTTTGAGGTTTATTGTTCATACTGTGAAGTATTATATGATGGTGCTATGTGTTGTGGAACCGGAAAGTTTCTTTTCTTCCTTGAAGAAGAGAATGAAAAGAGTCGAGTATATGTTCCCTTGTATTATTGATGATTTAAACCTTAACTATATGCTCTCCCTTCAAATGACGAAAGAGGCCCATAACTTTTTGCTTTGCTCATTCTTTGGTCACTTGGGTTGAGATCTTCTGCTGTGCACAACTTCGTGAGAGGAAGCTTACTAGTTTGTCAGTGAAGTCTAAAACAAAGTATGGTTTCCATTATATGTAATTCGAGATGAGCTGCAAGTTGCAAAGGTCTTGTCGAATGTGGATTTGATGTCTTGAGCTAGACTAAAGCACTCCAGTGCTCTGAAGCCAGTTCTATCAGCTAATAAGGATCACTGAAGTTGTTGCTCTACATTGTGTCTACTTCCAGCTGCTATGGTAGTCATGTAATCGTGTGACTCTGTACTACGATTTGGATATACCAATTAATAGATTTTAGGCTGTTAAGAATAAGCATGTTCTAAATAATTGCTTTCCATTTTCCAATATACTCATCTCCAAGGTTAAGCAACGGGGAGAATGTGAAATAGGAATTGATCCAACCTAGAACTCAAAAATGCCCCAAATTGAATAACTTGAAATTAACCTGAATTATGTGAAATAGGAATTGATCCAACCTAGACAAGACCTCAAAGATACCCAATTGAATAACTTGAAATTGACCTGAATTTAAACACATTAGTGCAAAGATAATAAGACGAGAATTGAAATATTTTCATAGTAAATTAATTGACGATACTTGAATTGACAAGATTCAAGTTGAATTTGAAATAAATGATTCATCACCTAAATATAACCCAAAGTTATTTTTTTAGTTGGATTGTGTTGTATTTTTTTCTTACGATAGGTTAAGATAATGTGACAATTGAACATGGATAGTTATCGGATGCCTATATCTTACAAGATCTAGCTCATGCTCGAGTAGGATGCAAAAATTCAATCTAGTGTAACAAATGAAATAACACAATTCATAATTTATTCCCGTAATTATTAGTATACCTAGATATGATCCAACCTAAACTGAATAATTCACAATCAAGTAAACTAAATTTCAAAATATCAACTTCTTAATTTTTTTTTTTTAAATATATTATCGATCAAAGTTATACATTAATATGTTTCTCAGGAAAATCTGCTAATTAATTTTTACCTCTACTTGCTAATAGACACTCTAGTCATTTTTTTTTCCTCAAAGGCAAAGATTAATATATAAACATTGTTGGATTTCATGCATGCTATCATAATTCATAATTTTTGTAGCTTTCTAAAAATTGGCATGTACCAATTCATACGAAACAATTATGGGAATTGTTTATCGTAACATCATACATATATAGAGAAACTCAAATGCAACAAAAACATGGATATAACTTTACAACCTTACATATGACTATTAAAAGATCATAGCATATGCTACTACATACATTATTATTATAGATATGAAATTCCAATTACATAAATATACAAGAGTTTTCTTAATTCAACATGAAAAAGGCCTCATCATACTTAAAATAACTCAAATATTATAACTCACAATTTTAACGTAGAACATCCATGGAACTAGTGATGCTATTTGGACTAGTGGCAATTTGATTATTATTAGCTCTAGTACATTCACCATCTTCGAGTCCTAGATCGCATTTCATTGACATGAGCAACTCGTTTCGTAGGCAGATGGATTCGTCCCTAAGCCGAGCATTCTCTTGGAGAAGTTCATAGTTAGACTCCATGACTAGGTTGAGTTTTTCGGCTAGTTGGTGATTTGCTGCGAGAAGTTGCAATACTTGTGATTGAAGGTTTTCAAGTTGCTTGCGTTTGCGAAGCCTAGACCTTCTTGCTGATTCCCTATTCGATATCATCCTCTTTAGCCTTCTAATTTCTTGTTCCTCGCTTTGTTCCTTGGTTGTTTGATCATCTGAACATAAAGTGTTGATAATGCTATTATTAGGGCTAGATGATGATGGTGAATCAATATTGAGAGTTGGGTTTAATGTTGTTAGGTCATGAAGTGGAAGATAAGAGTGGAGATTTGGTAAGAATTTATTATGATTTGATGAAATAATGCCAAATTGGGATGAATTAATCTCATTGTTGGGTTGGTTTGAAAGAGGAGGTGGGAGATGAAATCTTCTATCATCATCGTCGTCAATTTGATACATATTATCTTTTCTCGAAATTTTCGAGCAAAATTTCTCGAATTTTTTGAGCAAAATGTAGAATGACGAAGAGAGAACAACGTAGAAGATAAGGAAAAAGAAGGTGAAATATATAAAGCATAAAAGGGGGTAATTAATAGACTACAAGATTAGAGTCGACATCAAGAAGTTCAATTAAACTTGCCAAAGGAAAGTGGGGGTAAAAAAAATAATAAAAAAAAAAGGTACCAAATGGTTTACAACAGGTGTAATACATACACGTTTATTCACCCCAATTCACGTAAAAGTTAATACTTTGTGAATTTAACTTTTCATGTGATTTGAGATGATTAAACATGTTATTGTTGTATATATACTGAATATTGTGACTACTGTTTAACAACCCATTTCAGATATCTTAAATGATGATAAGGTGCTCAAAATTTAAAACAACTATAATTATATACAAGTTGTTGGGCTAGCAAGCTCTTTAAATGTTTGCAAGGTGCTAAATTATTGAAATGGAATTAAACAATAATGTTACATAGAGCGTCATATCAATTGAAAATCTTAAATTTTCCATGGTATATCATTACCTTCGTTTTTATTAATCAAAAACAGTATTTCGTATTCAAGACCTTTCGGCACTTTCAGCAACTAATTCTACCAAACAACTCATTCAAAAGCTACCTCATCAGTTTAACACCTAATTAGCTTTAAATAACACATTTTCCAATAAGCCAATATACCCTTTGTACGTAGTAATTTGCAAATGGTTAGGGATTTTCTTTTAATTTGTATTTTGTATTTTTAATAGAGAGCTTAATTACTTTCTTAAGCGACAAGAACATCAATTTTGAATGGTATTTCTTCACGGCATTGATGCATAAAGAGACAATAACGTTAAGCATTTAAAAGTGTAATTAGTGCATGTGTTTAAATGGAAACTATAGCTTAATTTCTTTGTCCCTTGCTTTACATTTATACTCTTGAGGTGGGAATCTATGACATACTATAAGCAGTTTTGTAGTAATAACAAAAAATGAACAACCAAAATTGGGTATATACTGATAATTTACCTCATATATATACAATGAAAAAATGTTTAATTTCTAAGTCGTATTTACTTAACATGGTTGAGCTGAGATACCCTAAGGAGCTAGATAAGAGCAATTGATTTGGGTCCTGGCCTATTTATCAAGAACATTAGAACTTATATAAATATTGATTCTCAATATTATTGCTAGCTGTGACCTGGATATTCGTTGTACTAGTTGAGTTCAATCATAGAATTATTCGATCCAATAACATTAACGAAGTACTACTTCTTTTGTGTCTTAATTAATGCATGCAATATTTTGACTTTTACGCTAGTTAATGCACAAAGCTGGCCTGGACATATACTTATATCTTTGAAAATTTACATAATATGGTTATTTAGGTAAAACCTACTCGTACTTACAAAGTTAAGACAAACTTATCTTAACATGACCTACCTTAAAAAAGAATTGGGAATATACGATGCACTCATGCACATAATTACATAAGCAGTTAACTTGTATCTTGTAAAATTTGTAGAATGAAGAACAACATCATATGAGTTTATATATAGTTCATTAGTTATTTGTGGTTTGTCTAATAATTGATGCTAAAGATCGACTTAAAGTTATTTGTGTTTTCTCCAGGCCACTAAAAACAAGGAAATATAAGTTATTGTGTTTTTGTACTCTGTACAATACTAGGGCCCTGTTCTTTTAAGTTGTTCTGCTCTGCTCTGCTCTGCTCTACTGAAATTTGCTATGTTCTGCCCTGCTCTGTTCTGCTTAAAAATAATAATTAATATTTAATAAAAATAATAATAATTATTATTAATATTTAATAATAATAACAACTAATATTTATAGATAATAATAACTAATATTTAATAATAATAATTAATATTATATAATAATAAATAGTAATGAATATATAATATTAATTGATATAATAACTAATATTTAATGATGATAATTAATATTTTATATTATTAAACAAATTTTCTAATGTTATAAAAAGAGTAAAAAAATCTAAAAAAAAAATTAAATAATAATAATAATAATAAATCTGCTTTGTTCTGCCCAAAAGCTCAAAAGAACAGGGCCTAGATCTACTACTCTATAGTATGCAACAACTGCCTTAACTTATTGTTTACTTTTAATTTCCTTTTTTGAAATTTTTTTAAAATGCAACAAAGTATGAATTGTGATTCTTCAAAAAAAAAAAAAAGAAAAAAAGAAAAAAAAAAAAGAAAAAAAAAATGTATGAATTTTGATTGTCACTTCCATTAAAGAAAATATAGGCACTTCATGATTAAGAACCGCAAAATTAGTTTCAAATCTTAATTTAATGCTTATTTTACAAAAGCTTCATTGTAAATGACATTCTCTTTTCCAATTTTAGAAATACTTATGTTGCATGTAAAACATATATATATATATAACATCCTCAAAAACCCATAATCCATCAGTTTCAAAATAATTGCAAAACATTTTATCTTGTTTTTTTTTTGTAGGAAAACTTTTTATCTTACACTATTCAAATATATAATACTAGCTTTTTTCTTATCATAAATTTTTACTCCATAGTAAATTATTGATTTAGTTTCATGGTATAGGTACATTATTTATCAACTTCTTATATTGAGTACTAAATTCATTAATATCTAAATCAATAATTAACGTGATGTAAATATTTTTTAGGTAGTATTATTTTATAATTTTCAATACTTTATTATGCTACACATAAAAAGTAATTATTCAATGTATGTAAATTAATGCTAATAAATCAATCATTAATAATCAGGAGGAATAATGTTTGCTAAGCTACTCTATCTACAACTCTATATCATGAAGTAAATTTAGCTTAAATACCTATAATAAGAAACCACTTATTAGAATATATGTTACGTTCATTAATAAAACAAAAAAAGAGCCAATCAAAATAATGGAATCAAAACATCAAAGCTGAAAAAGTTTTTAGCCAACTTCTATAAATAGGAATATATGATTGTAATAAAATAGATGTATAATGGAAGATGTATTGTAATGGTAAGAACTTTGAAATGCAGCAATTATAAAGACATTTATGGGAAAAAAAGAAGCATATAATAGATGAAGGCATTGTTTTTGGGGATCTTTATTCGTAGAAAAACATCATTTTGGCAATATTAGGTTGTTACTTGAAGTCTTTTTTCACTTTTGAGCTGCATGCACTAAGTTATAAGTTCACTTTTTGTCTATTTTTTCTTAGGAAGATAGCAATAACATCAATGTGTTGTCCTTTAATTAATTCGATTGCCAAATAATTATTGTTTGTTTGCACAAGGTAATTTTGGTTGATTATATTATAAGGAGGTGCGATAGATGCCTTCGTGGTGAATCAAAATTTCGACCACGTTAGTTGTGAATTGAATCACAAGTATGTCAATCACTACACTTAGGCCCTGTTCTTTTGAGCATGTAAAGCAGAGCAGATTTTAGCAGAGCAAAGTATAGGGCTCAGCAGACATAGCAGATTTCAGTAAAGTAGAGCAGAGCAACTCTAAAGAATAGGACCTTATATTGATTGATCTACATCATATACTTCTTCGTTTTTTTAACTTGACACACTTTAACTTTTGCACTATATAATTACAAACTACACTTTGACTAGCTTTTGTGATTTATAATTATGATATAACATAATTACATGAGATCTTATTTGAAACGTCTCAACTACACTTGACACACTTTGACTTTATAATTTATAACACAATGACCGAGAGATCTATATCTTATAGTTTGTAAGATATACTTGATGATTGTAGTCTTGATGTAAGATTCATACTTTAAGATTCAATTTGTTAGATCCAAAATCTTTTTTTATAAGTGTCGTATGTCATTTTATTAAGGCAAAATTGGCCTCAACACTCTAAATTATATCATAGGTGCAACTAATACCCAAAATTTTGACTAGTAGCACAGAACACCACCAACTATTAATTTCGATGTAACGCGTGTCATTAATAAGTATTTTTGGGCACTCAAATTAAAACATTTTTTGTAATTAAAGAACAATTGATGGCATTGGCATATATTGCACCTCAATTAATAATTGGTGGTGTTCTAGCTAATAGTCAAAGTTCAAGGTGTTGGATGCACCCAAGCTATAATTCAGGTTATTGTGGCCAATAATTTTGCCTTTTATTAATGAAATAGCTTTAATATTCTGAATGAAGTGATCTCCACTCGTGGGGTTAGCTTCCATTTCCAATGATATTGAAAACATAGAAAGTAGCTCATTAATCAAAAGTCCATCTTAATTAATTAAACAATAATGTTGAAATCCTTATATTATTATACTAATTTACACGCACACAACACAAGACAACCAGGCTATACATTACATGGTACACCACTTACTCACACTCTTTGGCTTCTTAGGCTTTGTTTAGCTAGTGCTTGTTAAACTACAATTATAAAATAAACTATGTGGATTAGCATGTAATTTCTTAATTAAGAGTGGCCAAAGCCAGTGAAGCACTGGCTGTAGGCCATGTCATGTACTCATTATGGGTCCCTCAGTGTGATTTAAGCTTTAGTAAGGCCCTGTTCTTTTGAGCTGTTCTGCTCTATTCTGTCCTGCTATGCTCTGTCCTGCCCTACTCTTTCCTGCCCTGCCCTGCCCTGCTTAAAAATAATAATTAATAATAATAGTAATAATTAATATTTAATAAAAATGATAATAACTATTAATATTTAATAATAATAACTAATATTTATAGATAATAATAATAATAAATAATATATAATATTAATTGATAATAATAACTAATATTTAACCATTATAATTAATATTTTATATTATTTAACACATTTTTAATGTTATAAAAAGAGTAAAAAATCTAAAAAAATCAAATAATAATAATAGTAATAATAATATTATAAATATTAATAATAATGATATTAATAATAATATTAACAACAACAACAACAACAATAATAATAATAATAATATTAAAAAAAATAATAATAATAAATAATTTATGATAATAATGTGATAATAATAATAATAATAATAATAATAATAATAATAATAATAATAATGAATTGGGTGTTATGCCTCCTATTGTTCAATTTCCATTTGTGGGTCTAAATGGGTATCATGATGGTCGGGGTAATGGGCTCACAAAAACCTCTTTGATCACTCATCTCCGTGACCGTCATTGTTGTGTGGATGCGCGGGATATGACTCGAAACTCTCTTACCTCTTATTTGACTATTTTCTTA